TTTGTAACCTTCCCAATTGGCAAAGTCAATGGGGGAAATCAGATCTACTAAACAACTGCATGATTTGCTTAATAACTGTGGCAAAAATGTTCATAAAATGGGGCACAACTCACTTATATTTTCAAAACTTTGAAAATGTTAGGCTTACAGGTTTGGCATATTTCCTTTAAAACTTTTTATTCCATGCGTGTAAACTTTATTCACTATATAAATATCTCATTGAGTTGAAATGATTAATTAAAGAAATAGAAATAAAGCAAATAAAACAAATTTAATGGAGTTAAACTATTACATTCAAACAACTTTTGGAGCTCTATTTTTTTGTTTATAGACATGACAGTTTGTTAGCAGGCAATTCTCTTGGCTTGTTTAAGAAGGAAAATGAAAGCACTTAATATAGCAACGGCTTCTATAATACTGCTAGCTGGTGGTCTTCTGACTGTAACAACCAAGTAGAAAAGTCTTTCAATGGCGCTGCTTATGACCTGATTTTTCTGGAAAGAAAGAAAAGCAATACTATTATTATTCATAGACAAGTAAGTGTTTTGCTCCTTTTGGGTTTTCGTGGCGTAATTTTTGCTTTGCTGTTATTTGCTTTCCCTAAGTTTATTCCACTAGGTCTGTTTTGATACGTAATATTAACAAACAATTGTATTGTTTACATGTCCCTGCAAGTTTTACATGATATTGTAGTACTGTATTATTTTAATTTTTGAAATCTACTGGCATCTTCTACTTTTCTTTAATAAAAGCATGACTTGATATGGTTTTAATAATAAATATATTTAACTTGAGCTTGTAAAGGAGTGAAACACACTATGCTAGAAACTCAGAGATTGAATATTCTGGTCCTGTCATAGACAAATCTATTCAAATGACTTTGGCCTAGCCCCTTTCTCTTAACACTAGTAACACTAGTTACTGCATAACGTTCAGGCTTACTTTTTAACAATAATGGTATTGAAGAATTTAAAAAGTAATTTCCAGTGCCAGATTTAGGCATAAACTAAATAATCTAGAGTTTAGGCCCCCACAATCCTTCAAAATTTCAGTTTTGGGTTTGTTTGTTCTATCTTTTTCTTTTTTTTTTTGCCTTTAGATTTTTATGTGACTTTTCATGGGTACCGTAGTTTGTAAAATCTTATGTAACAAGTTTTTATGTGTAGTTTAAAAGCCTGAAATGTAATTAATTTAATGTTCCCGGAAAGTGATAAATTGTGTAATATATCACAAGCAGATAATCCATGGTTTGCTTTTAAGAAATGAAAGTTTTAAATTACACATTATATCAGTTTTCTGATTTTGCAAACTAATTCATTATTTCTTATATTAACAAAAGGGATTGTGATTACTTGTTTTGTCAGAAAAATAGAATTCTTTATTGGCCAAGTGTGATTGAACAAAAAAGGAATGGTATATATGCTCTCAGTGTACATAAAAATACATTATATCTTGTATCTAAACAAGTAATAATTAATTGCATTGCAATTAAATGCATTCACTTGAAAATAATTTGCATTTTTCACCTTAAACACCATGCTATTAAATAAATAAAAAGCATATACACATTTTCAATTTTTTTGTGGTGACTCTAGGTTTGGTGTGAACCTCTGTGATATATTTCTGTATCCTGTATCATGTATGGTAAGTTTGTAATAAGAGACCTCCGAGCTTCATGTAGCTTAGGGCCTTACTAAGTGTAAATCTGACCTGGTAACGCCTGATTTTAGACTCTTCCAGGAAAATCTGTTCAAAGGATATTATAAAAAAAATATACAACACAAATGCCTAGTTAACTGTGGCTTCTTAATGTATTTGATGATCTCATGTAATATAATTGATACCTGTGTTGGCCCATCCCAATGCTGGTTTGTATTACCCAGAGTAATGGGCCAATACATTCAAGCAGGGTAGATGAAAGAGGAATTTAAGCTGTACTATGTCTGCAGGGGTTAACATGATGTGAAATTAAAAAGGTTTATAGTGATACAGACATTCTGTTGCTGCAAGTTATATATAGTTTTATTTTTCTCAATCCATTTAATTTTGACACTGTCCCCTAAATAAATGTCCTCATTTTATAACATTAAATATCTGCTGTGCTAAGTCTGCAGTTGTCAAAATGACCCTGGGAAAATTTTATCTATTCTACATAATACATTGGTGTCATCAGATTATGAGTTAAGCATCTCAATTCTTCCTCGTATTCTTGAAATGCTTCCAGTAGTGATGTCAGAATCTGTAAATAGAAATAGTATATAATTAAAATACTGGATTTTGTGGAGTTTGATATTCAAATCATGAAGCTGAGGACAATAACGATGTTCAGAGCTTCTTAAGAGGCATGGAATTGGAAATTTATAACACAACCCTACATTAGATTTTTCTATAATATTAGAGAACATATTGTAAGCAAGGCCTCAAACTTTATATAACTATGCTATAATTTCTATTTTAAGCAGAAATAAAGAAAAAAGGGCTTTAAGATTCTTTATTACTTTTCTGTGTACTGCAATCTTTATTTGTTTAAGTAGAATTCTTCATTTATAGTGTAAATGGAAAGCTTAGGCTATTCTTAGTTAATTCATGTTGAGCAAATATTTAATGTTAATTATTGTTGTTTTTTATTATTATTATATAGTTTATTCATTAAACATGAAACTCAGTCAACTATACATTCAAAAATGCATCACAAATACCATTGACTGGTGTTAATGGTTGATACGGGTTGCTGTCAATGTCCTGGGTATCAACCAAGTACCTTCTTAAAATGTACAATGTTCTGAGTAGCAGAGTTTTTTGCAGTTCCGCTGTGTTATTGCAGGAAGCTGCAGTTTCTTGATGTATTTTATAAAATTCTTGGACATGGTACCATGTGCCCTAATGACAATGGGTATCACTGTTACATGCTTCAACCATAACTGTGTAGTTTCGATGGCCAGGTCATGATAATTTGTGATTTTTTTTCTTTGACTTTGGCTGTATCAATAAATTGCACGTTTCTTGATATCACGGTACCAGGAGACGCCAGAGTCCCAAAAAAAAGAATTGGAAAAAAATCACAAAATATCACAACCTGGCCATCAAAACTACGCGATTATGGATGAAACTTGCTACTGTTGTTGTTGTTGTTGATGATGATGATGATGATGTTATTGTTGTTGTTATTTTGGAGACAGGCATTTGTACCAAAAGGGATTTCCAGATTAACTATACTAGTGGCATAAACGCATTGGTGTTTGATATAAGATTCAATGGATCTGAAACATTCAAAGATTATTTTGTAGAGAGTAAGAAATAAGAGCACTTTTGAAAGATTCCAGTAGACTTCTGTTTTGTGAGTTGAAAGAGAATAAAGCCTATAACCCTTTGTAATCCTTTGTAATGGAAAGGATTTCATTCTTCTCTAGTCAGGTAGAATTCCCCCCCCCCCTTCTATTAACTGTTTAGTCTTAGCGGTCATCATAAGCTGTTCCACTCCTCCCTATCCCCCCCCGAGAGGAAATTCTGGCAATAAATAGAAAGCAAGACATTTTATTATTCCAGACAGTTTTTTTAAAAAACTACTTATTTTTTGCTCCTCTATTTCCACCACATATATTTTATGCCATGTATATGCTTCTTTTTAACAAAACAAATTTATTTGTAAGATCCTGTCTTCATTTTTTTAAAAAAATCTTATCCTGCTGCTATTCAGTGTTTCTAATGCAGTGAAACAAGATAATATGCTATTAATTTCAAAAGCCAGAGAAAAGCTGTTTCAACAGGGTGTGTGACAGCGATTGGCTTTAGTTTTTGTGGTTTAATTATCTTTTAAAACGTTAGATCTGGATTGTTAAAACTGAGAGTATTTCAGCCGCTGCGTTGACTTCCATGATGCCAAAATGTCAACGTACCACAATAGCAGAGATACGCTTATGAATAAAAAGAATGTCAGAAATAAAAACAAACAAGAAGCAGCATCTTAGCTTAAGAAGCGGGCATGCAGTTTGGAATTCTACTGTGAATTCAGCCTGATTCTGGCCAATCTGCTTTTTTCCCCTTTTCTGCTACAGGGAGCATGTATATCACTTAAGTCGTCTTAGTATTAGGTCACTATTTTTTTTTCCAGGAGTAACGTTTATGGTCATTCTCCATGGCATAGGACAATAAAGAAGCCTGTGATTCTTCATTTTCTAGCAGGCGCTGATTTTAGGAACTCTTTAAGGATGGAAAGGCGTTTTGAAGCATAAGCTGTATTGCAAAATAGCTTCCGTTTATGCCTTGCAGATATATTTAGCTGTAACCTTGCTTGTGGTTAAGCAGGGTGCAACACAGATGTAAACAGCTGATTCTGCAGCCGGACCTGATGTGCCTGTGATTTTGTCAATAGGCTCAGCATTTCAGTAATCCACTGCAGAATTAGTGCTTCAGGAAAGGTGGTCTCGCCTCTTACACATGCCTAACAACAGCCACAACAGAGTTAATTATTTATCGTAAAGAAAATATTAAAACAGAACAATAGTACTACAGAGCTAGGACCTAATACGTACTATGTGAAATCTTCATTCATCAAGAAGGGTATTGGGGCGGATTTTCTTTCCGATCCTCTTTTTTTTCTCTTTAAAAAAAGGAATCTTCTGTTTTTCTCAGTAGGAGATGGCTGTGGTCAGTAGAAAGGGATCTGCAGACAGGTTTTTGCCAGAAAAGCTGCCATACTTCGAGGCTGCATTGATGAAGAAACTGGAGCTTTGCTGAACACAGCATAGTAACAATTTACCTTGCATCATCAGTTGATGGAAAGGCCGTCCCCCCCTTCTTCTCCTTTGTTCCCTCCCACACGGTTGCTCTAAGACAGAGCATATTTGCAATGTCACTTAGCAATCTTAATCAGATACTGCGTTTAAGGTGAGCTGTCCCTTGCCTTTTCTCCCAGTGGATCTGTGCTGCTGTGGCTCTCTCTGTCTCATTCTGTTGCAAGCCTAAAATGGCAGGCAGGATTAATGCAGCTTACACTGTCTGCATGGTGTAGAGACTGAATTCATTACACCATGCCTACTATTTCTAAAGGGAGCATGTAAATGCTCTGCGTGCCATATCATGCCATAGCAAGGGCTTGTTCTTCCTAATAGAGATGGCTATATAAGCAGGCATTTTCAGAATTCAATGTCATTTTTTGCATGGTTAGTTAATAGCTCACTTCAAAACCAGCATTGGTTCTATTGTTATTATGATTATTTTAAAAAAGAATTAAGCGGATGCTGCTTCCAGTTGGTGTCATTCTTTGCCTTGGCTGCTCTTTAAATAATGAATGCTGTATTGCTAATTAATGGCAATATCAAATTAAACCCTTCGAAACTGACGTGTTTCTTATAAAGCCCGTGCAATCTATTTTTAACTCTTACTGCGTAAGAGGTGTGCATAGGGCTTTGGTTGTTGAGTTTTTCTTTTCAGCAAGGGCAATCATCCTGGGCTGATGTTCAAGCAGATGTGACAAGGGGCCTTTGCAGTCAGTGGTCATCTTCAAGCCTTGAACCTTCAGAAAAGGAGAGGAAAGTCCTGTGCTGCAGCTTTAAAAACAAACTAGCACCTTTTCATCACCACCTTGGATGAGAAGATCTCTCTGCATTCCACATCTCTCCTTCCCATTGATAAACTCAGCTATCTTGGTCACAGTCGGTTCAAGCAAGGTGTTTTTTAAAACAGCTTCTTTTTTCCTTTAGGGAAAAAAATTTTTTTTAGTAGTCAAGCTTTCACGATCTCTTCTCCATTGCTTTAAACAAGAATTGCTGAATGCACTGCCATGTTAAGACTTAATTAAACCACATAAACAGGTAGGTGAAGATTTGCATGTTTTTTTTTACCAATTGTTATTCCACAAAGGAAGAATATGAAAATATAGACACTGAGCTGATAAGCTATTAAATAAGTATATTTGGTAATGAGGTAATTCTAAAATATTTTCTTTGCAATTATTCGAGTGACAGTTTTGTCAGTTTAAAAACATACCTCTTCCAAAATTGAAAATAGCATTTCTGCTAGGTAATCTGGGCGTGGCACCGCTTATGCAATAAAATACTTTTTAAAAAGCTGGACAATTTTAAAAGATTTGAAAGTCAACTATGAAAATGAATAGGCTTTCTGCTAAGATACAAACGTCTAAGTTGTGAATATAGCTGTGATAAAAATTTAAAATATTCAAATTTTGTACTAAAAAAGCGGTCTTTTGGCATTTATCATAAAAACTAACTTAATATTTATTGTTCTTTTATAAAGATTGCTGACATAAAGTGAGGATAATTTAAATACAATATTTTTTCTTTTTGAGATGTCAGCTATTTTTTAAAAGATTAGCACCTATATGTATTCCTTTCCCTTTGAAATGAATGTGAATTAGAAATGGGCATACTTAGCAAATTAAAACAAAATATGTAGATATCCTAATCTGTAAGATAATTTTTAAGTCATTTTATAGACATATAACGTACACTAACATAGCTGCTTTATAATATAGTTGCTTCACATCTATATTGGGCCAACCTGTTACCTTGGTAACCGAATTCTGATAAAGGATGCAATAACAGAGCTGCAGAGGCATTTATTATTGTTTATTATTCCTCAGTGCAAATGATTATTTCATAACATTTTTACATGGCTATGATTTTTAACTGATAGGAAATCTTAGCCTGTAACTGTAATATTCTCTGTCATCTTAACGATTACTTAAGCAATGCAACAACGCTAGTTACATTCTCACAAAAACAAACACCATAGTATGAAGGAATTCACTGTGACACAAATGTAGAATATTTATTTATATTTAAAATAGATTCAGTACTGTAGAAGCAGAACTAAATTTAAAAATAGCTCAAAACTATAAATTGGTTTAAAGCTTCCTTCTCTAATTATTTCTTTTAGCAACAATTTTACAGATTTTTTTTTTACCTACCCGTAACTTAATCTGATATTTTAACCAAACTGAACATCATGTACAACGAAATATATGAGGTGAAAGCTGTGATGATGCAGTTTGTAATTTATTATAACACTAATGCAAGATGAAGTTGACAACAATATAACACGTAATGAATAGCATTTTTAATAGTATCTGCAAAATTAAACCTAAGGGTGAAAGGTATTACTTTTAGTGTAAATATTTAACCACTTTTGATATAGATACTTTAGAACATGCACTTTAAATGAAGCACAGCTCTTAGTAAAGATATTTTCAGCATAGAAGCCATCTTTTCAAATGCTTAACTTCAAAATAATCAAAGATTATCACATTCAGCACTCAGTAGAGATGTTTAGTGGCAGTATTAAGAAATACAGTTCCATCAAGCACAGGTATTTACAGCAAATATAAACAGTAAATGACAATATTAATTTGGTAAGATAGCTCACAATAGACATAATATTTTTGTTTCAGAAAAATACTAATAAAACCTGTTTAAAATGAAGTCATAGAATATGCATATTACATTACTCAAAAAGATGTAAATGGATGCATGCACTAAAATCAGGCATTTTTATTCACTTTTTAATAATTCTTTCAAATGCTAACTTTCAGTACTAAGATTCTGATAGGATTGATGACATTTTTTCAGGATGGATTATTTTGATCGCTTACTTTAGAAAATACAATGTAATTATCAGGTCCTTGATAGTGTTAAGAACATTATTATTCATTTTATGCGTATATTTCTTCCCTTTTAATAAATCTTAGACATCATTCTATGTTATTGTACTACACATTTCTACAGGAGAGCAGGAAAATAAGGATTTATGAAGTACTTCTTGATTTTCATTTCATTTCATCTTTGAAGAATAAATGATGGTGTCAGAAAAAATGCAGCTCTCTCTAGCTATGAAGTTTTCATAGGGCTACTAGCTCTAAGCTACAGAAATCCAGATAACCATTAGATAGCAACGAGAGTTTTCTGTACCTTTATGCTACCACATCTAGTGTTTATCCTGATTTTTGCAGCCCAAATAGGTTACTTTGTTGACATGCATTGCTGAGTCTCATTTTTTAAGTATTACCAACCAGTTACTATCCATTCCCTATCCATCCTTATTTCCCCCCTCAGCCATTTTAGCCCACAGTAGTACTAATGATACTGTTCATGCAGTAATGCCATTTGCTTATTTATGTCTTTGGATGCTATTTATGTGAACCCAGTTACTGAAGTTTATAAATCACAGCTTATGACTTAGTATGAGATGTGAATTATATAGCTTAGACAGACCGTGATAAACAAAATTGTGGCAAAGTATCGATATGATAAGTGAGCCAAAATATTGGCATGAACTATTTTCACCCAAAAGGCTATAAATATCTATTCATTTTCTAAATAGCCATTTAGTGTTGGATAGATCATCCCCATCTACCAAATTATTTCCTTTAAGATCCAGACAAAAGAAGAGATCGGGTGATGTCCCAGTTTCCATCTCCATGCTATATGTACATGCTACTTCTTATACAAAAAAGGGTTAAAGATGGAATAATCAAAAGCTTTGGAACCATCCATGCTAATTATTCCCAGTATTGTTTCAGTAGCTCTGGAAGCTTCTATCCTATGTGATATTTCATATAGACAATGCTGACAGTTTGGTTACATCTGTCTCTTCCTGCTTTTTTTCTACATTTTATCCAGTTACTAAATGGTAACTATTTTAGATGTTTGCTAATTTTTAATGTCAAGATAGATATTTTTGCTGGCTGCTGGCAGATGTGCTTGCTTTGATCTGAATATAGGAATTGACTGGCAGTGTGCTGGTGCAAACTAAACTGGAAATTACCCATCATAATTTTCCAACAGAAGAGTTACGGGCCTAGTATGAAGTCAGACCTACACAATGAGCACTCAAGAGTACTCAAAGGACCTCAGTCACAAAAACATTCCAAATTATTTCTAGTCCAGCATATATCTGAACCAATGCTCAAAGACATGTCTCATGGATGTTCACTGGGAATTAACACATCCTAATTGAGGAACATTTCTTTCATACTGTCGGAGCTTGAATAAATGGACTGGATTGGAAAAATCTCATGAAGATGGGAAAGAATATAGCAATGAAGCATAGAAATAGAGGCATTATTTGAAAAAGATGAACTTCTCAGAATACTTGAAGATGCCATGTCCAAAAGAAGTCCAGGTCAGGACAGCTTGTTTAGCAAATTTAAGAACTGTCCATCTTCCTCACAGAGGGACTCTGAGCAATGTATAATAAATATTAAAAGCATAAAAACCGTATATAACATTTAAAATGTTAATTTTCAGAAAGCTGGTACATCTGAAATTATCAGAGAATGTAGTTTAATGGAAGATATGTTAAAATAGTTTTCTATTCAGAGGGCACTAAAACAAAATATAGGTAGTCCTTGACTTATGACCACAATTGAGCCCAACATTTCTGTTGCTAAGTGAGACCTTTGTTAAGTTAGTTTTGCCCCATTTTGGAACCTTTCTTGCCACAGTTGTTAATGGAATCACTACAGTTGATAAGTTAGTAATCCAGTTGTTAAGTGAATCTGGCTCCCCCTTGACCTTGCTTGTCAGAAGGTTGCAAAAGGTGATCATGTAACCTTGAGACACAGCAATGGTAATAAATATGAAGCAGTCGCCAAGCATCTGAATTTTGATCACGTGATCATGGAGACTTATGGAGACGTACTTATATTAGCAAATATAAATTGCTTATTTGAAATTAGACAAGGCTCAGTGGCTAAAACACTGAGCTTGTTGATCAGAAAGGTAGGCAGTTCGGCAGTTCGAATCCCTAGTATAGGTCTCCTGCATGAGCAGAGGGCTGAACTAGATCAGAGGTGGGTTGCTCCCAGTTCGGCCCGGGTCAGGCAAACCAGTAGTGATGGCAGCCAGAGGCTCCAGCCACCTGCCCGGAAGCTTCTGCGCAGAAGCATCACACGCGCGCGTATGAGCAAACTACTAGTAAAAAAATAGAAACCCACCACTGGACTAGATGACCTCCAATGTCCCTTCCAAATCTGTTTCTGTTACTCTGTTACTGTTACTGATATATAGGGGGGCATCAAATCAATAAATCTGATTGATGAATCTTATGAGAAAAAGATTAATACATGCATTAGTACATGCTGAAAAAGCTGTATTAAACTGAAATGACCAATAAATCATAATAAAATGAGGAGTATATTTCATGAAGCCTATTATGCCACTGAGTTGGTTGCAATTGCATTAAGTCTATGTTATCTTATGCAATATAGCTGTAAAATTCTACTTAAAAATAGACTTTGCAGTCTTACAATAAACTACCAAGTGGAAAGTACAATAAAGCTAATGTCAGGGTTCCAAGTAACACCCCCAATGAAGGAAGACTCCAAGGCTTGAGTTTCTCAAAGTTTCATTTTATTAGAGATGGCACATCTGGGAAAACCCGAATCCAAAAGCTTCCAGGTTTTCCCACCCAGTTGAAAGTTCAAGACTCTACCCTCAACACCCACAAGTCTATCACATGGTCCAATCAATCATTGCCACAAAGAAAAATTCCACCCATCCACATCCATTCAGATTCAGGAACAAGGCGATTTTGACTTTCTGAGAAGGAATGTTATTATGGCTACATATCACCCATACTCTGAATAATCCCCCCTCCCATTTTCCCACAGTAGAAAATGTGGCAGGCCTGAAATCCAAAAGGCAAAATATGGCTTCCAGGCTGACAACTAATTTGCTGCATCTTAGGCTAGAGAGAGAAAAGCAGTTTAATTCCAGAACCCAATTAGAAATAATGCAGGTTTATAAAATAAGAACAAAAGGCTACATGGCTTTGGACTTAAAAACTGAAAAAGTAA